TTAAGAAGGCCCTCTTGTCTCTCCTTGCTATTCTTTGGAAGTCTGCATTCCATCTTGCATTTTGTTCCCCTATCTCTCTTGCATTTTGTTTCCCTTCTCTTCTCTGCTATTTATAAGGCTTCGTTGGACAGCCACTTTGCTTTCTTACATTTCCTTTTCTTTGGGATGGTTTTCGTTGCTACCTCCTGTACAATGTTACGAGCCTCCATCCATAGTTCTTCAGGCACTCTGTCCACTGAATCTACTTCCTTAAATCTATTCTTCACTTCCACTGTGCATTTATAAGGGATTTGGTTTAGATTATACCTGACTAGCCCCGTGGTTTTTCCTACGTTCTTCAGTTTAAGCTTGAGTTTCGCTATAAGAAGCTGATGATCAGAGCCACAGTTAGCTCCAGGTCTTGTTTTTGCTGACTGTATAGAGCTTCTCCATCTTTGGCTGTAGAGAATATAATCAATCTGATTTTGATATTGTCCATCTGGTGATGTGCATGTGTAAAGTTGCCTCTTTTGTTTTTGTAAAAGAATGTGATGACCAGCTTGTTCTCTTGATAAAACTCTATTAGCCTTTGCCCTGCTTCCTTTTGAACTCCAAGGCCAAACTTACCTGTTGTTCCTTTTATCTCTTGACTCCCTACTTTAGCATTCCAATCCCCTATAATGAGAAGAACATCCTTCTTTGGTGTCAGTCCTTTTGGCTTTGGCCCATCCGCTTCACCACCTCTGGAGCTACTTCTACTTGTCCTCTGCTCTTCCTCAGTAGCATGTTGGAAGCCTTCCGACCTGAGGGGCTCATCTTCTAGCGTCATATCTTTTAGCCTTTTGTTTCTGTTCAAGGAGTTTTCTTGGCAAAGATACTGGAGTGGCTTGCCAGTCCCTGCTCCAGGCGGGTCGCATTTAGTCAGAACTCTCCACTATGACCTGTCTGTCTTGGGTGTCCCTGCACGGCATAGCCCATAGCTTCTCTGAGTTACTCAAGCCCCTTTGCCATGACAAGGCAGTACATTACCTTAGAGCAAACATAGGTACAGGAACCTGCGCTTGCTATGGTAACATGTAGCTCTGCCTTTAGCGCATCAGTCATGTGTGGGAGAAAATTAATTCTGAGGCTGCCTCTGTCATGTATGAGATGGGCAGGCTGCAAGCCCCACCTACCATCCAATTAGGAATACATGCTGACAGCCAGTCAAACTCTAAAACCACCTCAAGATCTTCATCATTTATAAAATATTCCTGCATTCCGTTATCTAGGCATATCTGGGTACCGCCCATCTACCGGGAAGCCACTACTCTAGGTTGTTCACAACAGATACAAGAACTCAGCTCCTGCCCAACCCAACCGAAAGCAAACATATCATTCCAACTAAAGAAACACCCTCCCCTCCCAACAGCTAAACACAAGCAAGATTTAAACATAATGGGTCAGCAAATCTATTGCAGAGGATACTTCTAAAGGCCCCTTTAAACAGCTCAGTTTGAACAAGCTTTCTAAAGGTCATGAGAGAGGAAGCGCCATCAAGATGCTCAATCCCGACACTCCTCATGTCAAAGTGACCAGTTATTTTCTTGCTGCCAGAGCCTAAAGTCTAACTACAGGGTTGGGCAAATTTTGTAGGCTTCGGGGTTGAATTCTTGCACCCAGATCCGCCTAACTACAGGATTGGGCAAATTTTGTAGGCTGCGGGGTTGAATTCTTGTACCCAGATCCTACAAAAGGCCAAAAAGTTGCCAAAAATGATTATTAAAGGGGGGGTGGACAATAAGCAGGAAAGGCCCAGATGAGCACTTCTGGTTTCTGTTTTTGGATAGGGGTTTTTGCTCCTGTAGGAGTCTTAAAGATGAAACCTGTAGCTCCTGGAGGCCTGAAGAAATGGAATAAGCCTTTTTGGATACTACTGCCCCCAAATGGGGGGGGGGGTTAACCTGGGAGTGCTCCAGGGTGCCACATGCAGCATCCATGCTTTAGCATGCAATAATGCTCTGGCTACATACACCATGAGATGTAGACATGCCCCGGTTTCACACTCTGTATCACAGTCGTGATTTAGTGAAATATTTCCTTGCCACATCCTCTACCATGCACACATAATAAAAACTCGCCTAAAGAGCTAACCCACATAACAAACAAATGAAAGGACAGGCAAAAGGATATTACCAAAGTACTGAGCAAATTCTTCAATTAAATGATTTGATGCTCTCATAATTTTTCTGCCAGTTGTTGTTAGCCATTCCTGGATTCCTTTGGGAAGGTGGTAAAATCCAAGATTGCTCAAGTGACTATTAAAAAGCCACACTGGAAGTGTAAAACAGTGTTTGGGCTAGGAACGCTGGGTTCAAATCCCAATGAATGTTACTGTCACTATCTCTCAGCCAGACCTGCCTTACAAGGCTGTAATAATAGTAATAATTGTGTGCCTCAAGTTGATTCCACGTTATGGTGACTCTTTCAAGGGTTTTCTAGATACAGAGTACAGTCGTGCCCCGCTTAACAATTACCCTGCATTACGCCGAATCCACTTCAAAACGATGGTCTAAATGGGGTTTTTTTGCTTTGCGAAGATCGGTTTCCTGCTTCGGGAACCGATTCTTCGCATTACGACGATCAAAACAGCTGATCGTTGGGTTTTCAAAATGGCCGCTGGTTGCTCAAAATAGCTCCCCACTGTGCTTAGGGACGGATTCCTCACTATACAGGCACTGAAAATGGCCGCCGCAAGGAGGATCTTTGCTGGACGGTGATTTTTTAGCCCATTGGAACGCATTAACCAGGTTTTAATGCGTTTCAATGGGTTTTTTATTTTTGCTTTACGACGTTTTCTCTCTACAGCGATTTCGCTGGAACAAATTAACATTGTTAAGCGAGGCACCACTGTACTTAAAAGTGGTTTACCATTCCCTTCTTATGGGGACACCTTAGGATTGTGCAGCTTCTCCAAAGCTACGCAGGCTGGCTCTTTTGTCAGGAGGAACATTAAGGAATCATCAGTGGTTTAGATATCTGGTTGTGGCCAGATATCTAAACCGCTGAGCTATCCAGCCAGTTTGAAAGATTTTTCAGGGAGAATTAAAGGGAAGACAACATAATGGATGACGGAGCATGTATCTCAACTTAATCCTTTAAGGAAGCGCAAGACGTGAATATAATAATGAAATACATTCAAAAGCAATGCATAGAAAAGCACTTTCTGAAAGTATCAGGGTTATTCTTGATGCTGAAAAAGACACATCAACAGGGTCTGGATGCTTCTCGCTATGGAGTCTTTCTAAAACCAGCTCATAATTTTCCTGATCAGTTCAGAATCCATTGGGGAAAATCAGTGTCAGACCAGACTTTCGTACTGTACCTGTTGGTGTTCTCGAGCACTTCTACTTTCTTGCGAAGTTCGCTGTTTTCATTTGAGCAGCACTCCACCCTGAGAAGCAGATAAGGAAGTAGAGGTTTGAAAGCAGGATCTCCCTTCGGGGCACCACAGCCTTGCCGCACCACCCTACCGCTCGGCAAACGGAACCGCACGCCAAAGCAGGAAGGACTAAGGTTCTATTGGTAGAGGGAGGGGGCATGGGGCTGATCTTTGTGACTCCAGTAAAAGAAAGGTCTTGCTTTTATTAGCAAGAATCCCTTGTGTTGCAGAAGAAGAAGAAACTCACAGGCTGCATCAGGTCCTGGGACAAGGGAATCAAGAACCGGGAGGCCCTCATTTCACCAGCTCTTTCTGCTCTGAGTGCTCTTTCGGCACGGATGCTGGAGACAGGGAAAGCTCTACAGCACGGAACAGCCGCATCTCTGAACAGCTTGTCAGTTGTGCATCACTTCTGTCTTCTTAGGCTAGCAATTTTGGCCTCTGTTAACAGCCACTAGGGGGCACATGAAGCACACACTGTTCCACAACCCTGGGGCCCTGCTGGTTTTCCCCACAGGCATCCATTATAAGTTGAGTCTGACTACTCATCAACAGCTGGCTGTCTTTGTGAACCTCCAAACCTGTGTGCAACTGAGTCAGACCACAGGCACACATGGAACCTATTATTAACAGGAGCTGCTCTCCAGAAGAACAGGCATCTCACCCAGGTGGCTTGCCCAGAAGGGTCCTTTAACTAGATATGCTGGGGCCTGAGATTTCTACATAAAAGCTAACTGTTCTACCACCGAGCCATATACGGGTCCTCTGTTTTGTCCATCCCTTCTAAAGACTTCCTTATAATCTGATTAAACAGACATGATTCTGGCGAGCTCACTTTTTCTCCAAGCTGTCCATGTATTCTTTCTTTTTTCTTCGGCTTTCTTGGGCAGAGATCTATGGAAGAAAAGGGGGGAAAAAGCACGACTTAAAGCAAATGGAGGTCCCAATAAAGATACTGTGCCAAATGGGGGGGGGGGGGCTTAACACCGGACCATCCACCCTTGCTTTGATTTAGAATTGTTAGTCAATTGGAGAAATCACTGATCATAGCAATATTAATTACTTGATTCACCACACATTTTGCATGTGATTGGGACAACACTTTTGCAGCCTAGTGCCTTCTTAGTGTATTCCAGGACTGCTTCAATTATTCTCAGCCCACAGGTAATTTTATTTCCTGCAATTATGCATTGTACTATTCGGATGCTATTGTGAGATGCTGAGAGCGCAGGTTACCATGGGAAATAAAAGGATCATACCATAGTTCCACAGGACGAGAAAGAAAACTGGGCCAGTGTTAGTAAGCCCCTATCAAGCACAGGGTTGAAGGCCCATTGCCAGTGACGGCTGTTCTGCTAACCTCTAAAGACATACTGCTGTCTGGCTCAGTGGTTTAGGCATCTGGCTGCAGAGCTAAAGGTTGGGAGTTTTGAGCCCCTACTGTGCCTCCATGACAGGGGCTGGACTCGATCATCCATAGGGTCCCTTCCAGTTTTGCAGCTCAAAGATGATAAAAGGAGCAATGGCCATAGTAGAAAGAAGGAAGATCAACCCTTTTTTGGCTCCTCCTTGTCATCTGATCAGCCATGCACAATGAGTACAAAGGGAACAGGAAAAGTAATTGGGAGATACTAAAAATCCCGAGCTATTGATACACCACTAGGGAAGAAGTATCTTACCCAGAACCTGGAAAATTCCTTGTTTGAAGTGCAATTCTCAGAAGCTTCCAGCTGGAATGCTTCCCCCTCCTCTCAAGCTAGACATGGAAGACCCAAACTGGCAAATAATCCCTTACCCAAACAGGCAAATACAGTGGTGCCTCCCAAGACGATTGACTCACGGGATGATTAATCCGCAAGATGATTGGCTTTTGCAATCGCTGTTGCGCTTCGCAAGATGATGGTTCTACGGACGATTTTCGCATGACGACAATTTTTCCCCATTGGAACGCATTAAACAGATTTCAATGCATTCCAATGGGGAACCGCGTTTCGCAAGACGATGTTTTCACAAGACAGCGTTTTTTGCGGACCGAATTAACATTGTCTTGCGAGGCGTCGCTGTAATCCCTTACCTAAATTGGCAAATAATCCCTTACCTTATTCTTTATCTTCCTACGGATCTTCTTCAGTGCCTTCTCTTCGGCTTTTGTGAGAGGCAGTTTTGTTGGGATAGGATACCCTTCTGCTATCAGGGTCCTCTTCTCCTCCTCAGTCAAGATCAGTGGACCAGTGCCCTGGAGTTTCTACAAAAACCATAGCGATAGGGAGATGATAAGGTACAAAAGCTATGTTCTTTAAACCAGCAGGTTCTACCTCGGTATACCACAGAAACCCAATATAAATACTAGCATTAAGCATTCATACAAAGAATGCTAAAGAACAGAAGTTCCCATTTTCAAAAGGAGTACAACTTAGGCTAAGTAAATTCTTAATAAATACTTCACTGAATTAAAGAAATCTTGAAAATTGAGGACTGATTAAATCTGCACTCTAGAGAAATGACATGAAACATTTCAAAGAAGAGTAGCAAATTTAATTCATATAAAAGAAGCTTCCTGCCTTACCCCTTTTCTTACACAAATGAAGACACTCTTTTTAAGGTATTGCTTGACACCTGATTTTTTTTTAATGCTTTAATTTTTTTTTAATTAAATTAAAACCCATTGCCTAATTGATTGGGTCACCTTGTTCTTAATGCCTGACTCATTAATGTTTTCAGTTAATCCATCTTGCCAATTACTACTAAGCTAAGCACTGCAGTCCACTTGAGTATCTGATTTCAATATTTGTCTTCATTGTTTCAGTCAAAGCCATTACTATGGACATCTCAGAAATGTTACTCTACCTGCTATTTTGGGTTACTTTGTTCATTCATTCTGTCCTACCCTCAGAGGGGCCCTGATCCTAATATCTTTACCTTTGGACCAAGCTGCCAGTCACTGACAAAACCCAGGGGTGGCATTTCCAGGACGGACTGGGTAGAGTGGCATCCTCTTACCAGGTGCTCTCCAGATGTCTCAGATCATAACTCCCATACGAGGTGGAGATTATAGAAGCAGTACAGTGGTGCCTCGCATAGCGATCGCTCTGTATAGCAATGAAATCGCTTTGCGATGGACTTTTTGCCATCACAAAAGCAATCGCTTTGCGATGGCCCCTATGGGGAAATTTCGCTTTGTGATTATCACAGGGAAGCGATCATCGCAAAGCCCCATTTTCGGCCAGCTGATCGGCGGTTCCAAAATGGCCACCAGGTAAACAAAATGGCCACCTGCTGTTTTGCCTCGCTTTAGAGGCACCGAAAATGGCCGCTGCAATGGAGGATTTTCACATAATGTTAGTTTTTAAGCCCATTTGTTTGTTCAGTCGTTTAGTCGTGTCCGACTCTTCGTGACCCCATGGACCACAGCACGCCAGGCCCTCCTATCTTCCACCGCCTCCCGGAGTTGTGTCAAATTCATGTTGGTTGCTTCGATGACACTGTCCAACCATCTCATCCTCGGTCGTCCCCTTCTCCTCTTGCCTTCACACTTTCCCAACATCAAAGTCTTTTCCAAGGAGTCTTCTCTTCTCATGAGATGGCCAAAGTACTGGAGCCTCAGCTTCAGGATCTGTCCTTCCAATGAGCACTCGGGGTTGATTTCCTTTAGAATTGATAGGTTTGTTCTCTTTGCAGTCCAGGGAACTCTCAAGAGTCTCCTCCAGCACCACAATTCAAAGGCATCAATTCTTCGGCGGTCAGCTTTCTTTATGATCCAGCTCTCACTTCCATACAACACTACAGGAAAAACCATAGCTTTGACTATTCGGACTTTTGTTGGCAAGGTGATGTCTCTGCTTTTTAAGATGCTGTCAAGGTTTGTCATTGCTTTCCTCCCAAGAAGCAGGCGTCTTTTAATTTCGGGGCTGCTGTCTCCATCTGCAGTGATCATGGAGCCCAAGAAAGTAAAATCTGTCACTGCCTCCATATCTTCCCCTTCTATTTCCCAGGAGGTGATGGGACCAGTGGCCATGATCTTAGTTTTTTTGATGTTGAGTTTCAGACCGTTTTTTGCACTCTCATCTTTCCCCCTCATTACAAGGTTCTTTAGTTCCTACTCACTTTCCCCCATCAGAGTGGTATCATCTGCATATCGGAGGTTGTTGATATTTCTTCCGGCAATCTTAATTCCGGCTTGGGTTTCTTCCAGTCCAGCCTTCCGCATGATGTATTCTGCATACAAGTTAAATAAGCTGGGGGACAGTATACAGCCTTGCCGTACTCCTTTCCCAATTTTGAACCACTCAGTTGTTCCATGACCAGTTCTAACTGTTGCTTCCTGTCCCACATATAGGTTTCTCAGGAGACAGATAAAGTGGTCAGGCACTCCCATTTCTTTAAGAACTTGCCATAGTTTGCTGTGGTCCACACAGTCAAAGCCTTTCGCATAGTCAATGAAGCAGAAGTAGATATTTTTCTGGAACTCTTGCACCTGTGCAGCCCACAGCTATCCATTTTTCCAAATGCACATAACGAAGAAACCGTGGCATTGAAGACATGTCTGCCATATGACAACTGATGTTCTGGTTATGTGCTCTCAAGTTCATATCAGTATCATAAGCCCTACCTAATCAGGCTTTCAAGATAGGTGAGATGCTTAAGGAGTGGTTTTAACAATTCCACACCTCCAGTGAGCTTCTATGGCTAAATGGGAATTTGAATCCAGGCCTTCTGAGTCCTAGTCCATCTCTCTATCCACTACACCACACTTCGTATCAAACATGGCAATTACAGCAGTGTAATTACTGTAGTTTCTTGCTATCTTCTTGTAGGAACTCTGAGTCCTGTAATTTTCAGAATTCACTTTATTGCTTAGCCATACTCATAAACATCTAGTACTATGAACCTATCAGTGAAAGCAAAATCATCCTATTAAAATTTTGCCTAAATCCAACTTCTAGTCCTAACTATAGTCAACAATTAGATCAATGTCTGAATGGTCAGTTAACACATAAGGAAACCCCACTAATTCAATGGAGCTATTCTAGTTGGGACTACCAAATGGATTCAGGTCATAACATTTAATAATGCAATTAAATACTATGTACTTTTTTCGCTAGCACCCAGCTTAGAGGAGAAAATAGCGGACAAAACCCCTTGCACAGGAAAATATATGATTATTTTCTTCCCTTTTCCTGATCTTGTCTTTGAATCATGTTTTATTTTTCCTTTTACTGACATTAAGACAGAATTTCCTGGTTTAGATATAAAAGGTAACTCTGGCTTAATAGGAATTTCTGGGCTGAAGGGTAAAAATGAGGGAGAAACACTTGTTCCCAGAGTCACTAACCATAGTTTAATAAGCCACAGACAAACATCTATATGTGGTCGTTATATCTTCACAAGGATGGGCTGCATGGCTTGGCATGGTCAGTTACCTGTATGGATGTACCCTAAAAGGAGGCCCACTGCTAATGCTTCTTTCCCTGCTCCTTATCCTCCTTTCTGCCATTCCCTTTCTCTTCTTTGCATGCAAGCATGACAAGAGTATGTGGAAATGGCCTTGCCATTAGGCAAAGTGAGGCAGCTGCCTCAGGCAGCAGAGGCATTCCCTGACACTTTCACTAAGCTATGGATTTCAAGCAGCCTCCCTTCCACTCCCTAAGCTATCTTGTAACCCTCAAAGTGATGCAGAGAATACTTTCCCAGTCATCAGTGTTGAAGCATCACTCAAATGCCAGACCATCCATTTCTGTAGATCAGGGGTGGGTAGAGTGCACCCTGAAAGACGCACGCAGTGCCCAGCACTCCAAAACATCTACCTGTTTCTTTCTAAATTCTCTGGAAATGACTAAAGACTGAATCAGGTAGCAAAATGTCTTGTGGTTGGCCCTAAGAGTGGAGAGGAGAAGCAAACGCTGGGCCCTTGGGAAACCCTTGGGCCAGGGGTTCCCAAGGACATGGAGCAATTCCCGCTCCTTATCATCATCTGCACCACCTTTACTGCCGCACTTTTAGATTCTGCATTCTACCACCTTCTATTCAGCTGCAGCTTTTGATTGTGTGCCTCTGAACAGTAGTTATATATCCAGCACATCCTTGATAGATGAGATTCCTTTCCCTTAATCTCTACAATATGGCAGGACATCAACAGAACATGACCAACCTTCTTTAGAAGAAAGGTTGAGGAACTGATCAACTTCATGGGGCTCCAGCTTAATTTCCGGAAGAGTTCTGTGATTCAGTGACTTAACCTAAAGGGCAAAAAGTTGAAAGAGAAATCAAATTTTTAGACATCAAGACAAGATCCACCTCTTTTAATTTCTGCAATGTCTTAATCCAGATAAATAAAATAATTGTTAGAGAAACATCTAGGGCACCACTTCTCTTGTAAACTTTGGAAGAGTTACAGCAGAGGTTGGGAACCTACAGCCCTTGCAATGCTATTGGATTCCTGCCAATGAGAATGCCTCTCTGTGCCCCTTAACAAAACACAGGACAGTCATTAAACCTTGAATGTCTATGAAGCATCCAATGACCAGAGATAACAAGGGGCACTTCCTCTTATTATCCAATTTACATTCCCAGCTGGGAGGGTGAAAGGGCCAATGGAAGATGTTACTGTTATCTCCAGTCAGTGATCAGAGATAATAGGACAGTTCCACACCTCCAAGCATTGTTTGTTTAATAGTAAAAGACAGTAGCACATGGGTTAATTTTCCCCACTTATCTGGGGCTCAGAGGAAGGGTATCACCTGGAACCTCCATGGGCTAAATGAGAAAAACAGGCTGTAAGATCTCCCATATCAATGATATTGAAGAACTCTTTTACTTCTATTAATGTTTGCACACAGTAAAAAGAGATTACTCAGGGAGCCATGGCTTGCTGTCCACAAAGTATGTTACAATTGCCAAAGCTGCTTCCAAAAATGCAAAATGGGTCAAAGCCAAAGTCTTTCTCCCCACCCCACTCAAAGTAAATGAATTAAATTATTCTTGCAGAAGTTCTAAACTGTTAGGAAAATGGATCACTGTTACTTTCTCTTGATTTGTTTTGTGAGAGGCTATGCTTTAGGAAAACGGCAATCAACATTTCAAATGTTCATTGCCTGTATTAACAATGCTTTTGATAATGACTGTACTCTAGGTGAAATTATAATCCATGAAAACCCACGCCACAATTAATGTTCACTACCTGTGTTAATAATGCTACTGATAATGACTGCACTCCAATTGATCAAATGGATTATAATCCATAGAAACCCAATCTGAAGTTACTCTGTTAGTCTTCAAGTTGCTGCGGTACTTTTGGTTTAGTTTAGTTTATGTTGGACATGAAGACATGGGTGAGTTCCGGAAAATTCTGGCATTCCCTGGAACCTTCATCTTTTTAAAAGGTTCAGCCCTAGTATCTGCAGTTAAAAGAATCAAAAGATGAATGGAAAGATATTCTGCTTGAGAGCCACTGCTGATGAGAGCAGCCAGCTCCAGACCAGGTGGGCATGGAACCCATCCAGGGATAAAGCACCCTGTTCCTGGTGTCATCTCATGACTTTTATCAATTTGCCCTATTCAGTCACTGGATGCTGAAAAAGAAAAAGTACCATGCCATCTTCCTGCAGCTGGGATTGCTCCCCTTCCAGAGAGTCCGGGCTGGGTGTGGCGATAAGGCTGACCGAGGGAGCAAGGCCTGGTGCTTCCCCTGCAGCTGTTTCTGTCTTCACAGGGGCTGATGTCAACTCCGCACCCAAACACCAGTCTTCATTTTCCAGGTCAGCTAGAATTGAAGGGGGGGGGGAGAGACACACAACAGATGCCTGAGGAACAAGTTTGCCAGAGCAAGCAGATTTTGACAGAAATTGAGGCAAGTGGAGAAGGGGAATAGTAACAAAAGCAAATCTGAGTCAAGGACAAGCAACCTGGGAAGGAAGCATTTAACTCATTAAGCAAAGCCCTCTATCTCCCCTCCCAGGCTATTACTTCTTAAAGGAACCTGGGGCTTTAAATTGCAGCCTAAACATAGCCCTGGGGTGAGGGAGGATTGGCTGAGGATAGAAAACAAGGTAATTACTGAAAGCTGCTAGCAAAAGCTGAACGCAAGACTAAACAAGCCATTAGACAAAGCAGCCAGGGGTCTGTGCAAGAGTCTATGCTAACAGAAGGCTGGCTTTTTTTATTTTACTAATTCTGTCAGTAGGCGCACCGTGAAGGCAAAAAGCCAAGATCTGAATGAAAACCACTTGAAGAGCAAGACTTGCTGGACTCTCTTAAAATCAGGTCTGCTTTCTCTCATTTGTAAGTCCTTCATTTGCCAGCAAACAACACCAGAATGAAGTACAGGCTTGTGTAACTCCCACAGTCTTTCTATATTATTACCACAATAGTTGAATACTACCATACTTTTTTTTTTATTAAAGTGCATGAGAGTAATGCAACTTCCAACAACCTTGCAACTCCAAAATACAAAGGACAAAAATCCCCATCAGATCTTGCCAGCATAACCAATGCTAAGGAATGGTGGGATTTGTAGTTTCACAATTCCAGTGGTTAGGGGAAGGTTGGTTCCAGTGGACTTGTTTCCAACACTGAGGGGATGTTTCCAGGTGTCCAGAGGAAGGGCCTGAAGGGACATCCTCAGCCTACTAGATGAACATATGATATGTTGTGTTATGTGCCATCATGTCAGAACCAATTTACAGTGACCTTAATAGGGATTTGAAGGTAAGTGAGATATCTAAAGTTCTTACCAGTTCCATACACACAGACACACAACCATTAAGTTTCCAAGGCCATGTGAGGATTTAAGCTCAGTCTCCTGAGTCCCAGCCCAACCCTCTATATCTCCTATGCCAGTGGTCCCCAACCTTGGACATGGACTACAACTCCCAGAAGCCTTCACCACCACCTCTGCTGTTCAGGATTTCTGGGAGTTGAAGTCCAAAAACATCTGGAGGCCCAAGGTTGGGGACCACTCTCCTATGCCACACTGGATATATAATGCTTCTGAATGTGGGAATTCTTTTATGTGACTCAAGGCTAGCAAGCTGCAGATGCTCTGTCTTCTGTGACTTTGTCAAATATATCACTTAAGAGCCATATCAGGACAGTATGTTTATCACTATCCTAGCCGACAACTTCTCTTCACCAGGAACACAATACACAGCTAGTGATGAATTGCTTCTCCCAGGTCTCTCTGAAGAGATATTTATTGCAGGAGAATGCAAGTACCAGAAGCTTTGGTCACAGAGAGAGGGGGGGGAGAGGAAAACTAAAACTGAGAGCAAAATAACCCCTTCTGCAGCCTTCAGTTGAGCAATGGGTAATGGGATAGGAGTGAGGAAGCTCTCTATATCTGATGCTAGTAATTACTTTGTGGTGTAATCTTAACCTCCCCTGCTGGCTAGGAAATATGTAATTTGAATAACGATGGGCCAAGCCAAAAAGATTATGAACAAAAATAAATATGTACACATCCTGTAATCAAATACTTCAAAACAGTATTCCATACTCTGCCAAGAAGGATAACAAATGATAACTATAATTTCTTTTAACATAGTCTCTGCACTGAAGAGATTTTTGATCATATATATAGATGGTCTATTATATACTGTATATAGTAAACTAGCAAATTGACTTTGTATATCTCTCCGTCTGTACCTCTATCTGTCTATCTATCTATATAAAGTCCTTTTGACAGTCTACCTCTAAGGTTCTGGATCCACTTCCCAACACGCCCTCTTCCACAACTATTCTTATACAGAGAGAGAAAGAGAGCATATTTTTAGAAATCTTCATCTTAGAACTGCAGAGCTGGAAGGGACCCTATGGATCAATGAGTCCAGCCCCTGTCAAGGAGGCACAGTGGGGAACTGAACTCCCAACTTCTGGCTCTGAAGCCAGATATCTAAATCACGGAGCTATTCAGCAGGCCTCAAAACGTTAAAATTCACAGCAACGTAACCATTAATGAATCCCTTCATCTAGGCCTTCTAGATAGCTTTCTGGCTTCATGTTCCTCCCACTGACAGAAATAGTACAATAAGCCTGCCTTCTGTTGGGTACCATTTCCTCCTCATAACAGCATGATTTTTGCGATGTAACAAGTAGCATGTTGCTTGTTACTTTGAAAATGTGCTTTCCCTTACGTGCTTCACCTTTCTCATACAACAGGTAAGAAGCTGCATTCATTTATAAAGGAGCCATTTAACTCTTGTCCAGATATGGGGTTTCTCTCCCACCCAGGCCCCCTCCTCCCTTCAGCAGCGCCGACTACCGCCGATAATGACAGACAGGCTGCTGCCTTGCCCCCCTTACAAAGAAGGCACTGTGCAGAAACCTAACACTGCAACCCTTTTTCTTTCTTTATTAACTACAGTGTGGAATGATTAAACGGCAAAGAGGATGGCAGGAGAGCTGGTGTCCCACAGTATGTGTTCAGTATTCCCTTTTAAAAGCCTTTTTTGTTTTGAAGGATAAGCCATCAATTGAAGTGGCAAATCCAGGACTGAATGCATGCAAGAGCCTAGTGTTGGAACTTGCTTTTTAAATCAGGACATATTCCTCAAATGCAGAAAGGACTTCTAAAGATGTGCACAGGATCTTTTCCCTCCCTTCATCACTGGGTAGGGAATGTTTGCAAGGCTTCCGGCGCTGATGGTCTAACGTGCAGACATATTAGATACAGAGAAACCGATACAAATCCCAAAAATGATGTCTCTTTCTAGGAAGTTCAGCATCATACATGTTTAATTGCACAGCTACAGAGTCTTGCTCAATCGCCAACCTTTTTCTTCACAGAAAATATTTGCAGGTGTAACTATTGTATGGGTGGGTCCTCTGTGCCGTTCAGAGACATGCTTGGCTCCATTGCCATTAAGATCTCGCTCAACGTTCCACAGCCAACAAAACAATATGGGACACAGTGCTCTTGGGTGGAAAGCAATGAAGGTTACTCAAAGCAGCATCAGTGAAATCCTTAGACAGTCTAGTAATAATATAATTATGGACTCAGATGGCACTGTTTGTCAGCCTAACAGTCTAGATAAATATAAGAACATTTTGTTGCAGTAAGTAATGGTGATAGTGGTGACTTTATCTCTCTTTGTGGGTTGAAGAAGAAATTAGCAACTTTTGCACTCTTAGGGGATATCCTGATCTTTGGAGCCTGTCATTTTGAAGAGCATATGTTTTGCATGCAGAAAGGTTAAATGGTCAAAACCAAGGAAGCAGGATTTGGAGTCGGGGGGGGGGGGGTCCCCTTGACCCAACAGAGGTGTTGCCATTCATAACAGACAATATGTAGCTACACAGAAAAATCATCTGGTTCAGAGTGAGGGAACATCATAGCTTTGTGTAATCTAATGTTAAGAGCTGGTGTGGTACATCACATATAGTACCAGATTAGGACTCAGGAGACCTGAATTCAAACCCCCTGTTCAACAATGGGAACTAACTGGGGGGAGACAAAGCTAAAAAACATTTCTTGAACGTATCACCTAACCTGAAGACTCTATTAGGGTTGCCATAAATCAGAAGAAAGTTGATAGCACAGAACAGTAACAATCCAAATTACCACAGTGGGTGTATCCTGACCGTCAACTGGACCCATTTAACTACAGAAGGACAGAGCTAGGCAAAATTGCTTTGAGACAACAAAACCCAGAATCCCCTAGCTAGCACAGCCACCAGAGAAAGCTAAGAGTTTTCAACTCCACAAATTTTTTTTTCCCTAGCTCTGACTATAAATTTCATATTGGGGCGGGAGCACAATGGTACATTATTTTTAAAATGTTAAGGGATTATTATATTTGAAATAAATGCATAAATCCAAAGAAAGCTAAAATTCGATATGGAATCAAACCTCCCTCTTACCCTCTCTTTTTCTCTCCTGATTGTTTTCTTTTCTTGGTGAATTAAGCTCTAAGGCAATGAATGTACAGTGCTTTCACTAACCTTTGGCAGGATCTGAGCAGCCTATAGGCCAAGACTTGGCCATCGATGGTTTAAGGATATCCTAGTTTAAAGGATGATCTAAAGTTTAGGATAACCAAATAACTCACACAGAGACAGGTAGAGGAGTAAATTTAGGGCTTTAGCTGCCAGTGTTAAGGAGCTATTTCTTAGAAGACAAGCTGTGTCAGGCCCAGAACTGATTCAAGGTTGAAATACATATAAAAGAAAAAAGGGGGAAGCAGGCATAGACCAAGGATAATCACAAATTCATTGTCTTCAAAGTATAAAGTGATAGTGAGAAGATGGAGAGAAAATGAACAGTTACTGAGGCCAGCATATTACAAACTATAATAAAAAGGCCATCTGCAATTTAAGCAGACATCTGTAATCTCTAAATTGTAATCTTAGATGTATGTAATTCTGTGATTTTGGTACCCAGGGTGATATAGTTGGCAGAGCAAAGGACTAAGACTTTGGAGACCTGGGTTTGAATCCCCATTTGAACATGGAAACACATTGGTGGAGGGGGCGAGGAGACGGGAAGGTGGCATTAGTAAAACCATTCTTTATACTGTATATCCCACTTACCTTGAAAGCCCTACTAAGGTCTTTATACGTCAGTTCTGACTTGACAGCAGAAAACTAAATCTGTGGCTTTAGATTTGTGAAAATTTTAACTGTGTTTTCATTTGAATTGTTAGCTGCCCTGGAAAGGCTAGAGGAAAGGCTAGACATAAATCAAGTTAATGATCATTGGAATCATCTTTAAAGAGCCAAAGCAATAAAACCCATGTGGCATAAAACAAAAACTGGAAGCTCTATGTT